ATTTACTTCGGTGTTCTACTCTTCAAAGTTAGGATACTTACCGCCACACCATGTGAAATTTTAGTCATTTTTGTGTGAAGTTCCATCTTTTCTGTGTATGTAGTTAGATGTATTGAAGATGTGTGAATAGAAAATTTACTTCGGTGTTCTACTCTTCAAAGTTAGGATACTTACCGCCACACCATGTGAAATATTTGTTACATTTCGTTAACTTTAGTCATTTTTGTGTGAAGTTCCATCTTTTCTGTGTATGTAGTTAGATGTATTGAAGATGTGTGAATAGAAAATTTACTTCGGTGTTCTACTCTTCAAAGTAAGGATACTTACCGCCACACCATGTGAAATATTTGTTACATTTCGTTAACTTTAGTCATTTTTATGTGAAGTTCCTCTTCTTTAATATCTCGGAAAAAATTGGTAGCTTTTTACTTTAGATAATTCTTTAATAGGAATATTAAGCACTAATTCTGATGAAATGTCCATGTTAAATGTTACTTACTGTTAAAGCACAAATTATGTAGATATCAAACTGGTCCATCGCACTTACTACATTATTATATATAACTAATTTAATCTAAGTCATGATTAAGTTAATTTTTTGCTTGTTTATAATTTCATATTTATTACACGTTTCAAGGCGTTTGGTCTCAAACCCGGAGATAAGACAAAGGCCGAAGAAACAAATAGCAACGTTACCATGGTTATGCAGATAGCACTATCTAGAAAAGAGTTTGCAGAAGCTTTGGGGATGAAATCGGATAGTATGTTTGTTAAGCTGATGTTCAACTGCGTGGACAAAGACAAAAATGGAAGGATCAGTTTTCAAGAGTTCTTAGATACTGTTTTGATGTTATCAAAAGGTAGGATTATCACTTAGAAAAGTTAATAGTAACTACAAGACTAAAGAAGCCATTTGTACCAGATTGATAAATGATAACTACTGCTTCTATTGAGATAAATTTAATAAAGCTTAAATAACAGATAGTTAAGAGTTCAATGTTTAAGGTCTTACTAAGGACATTAAAAACTGTTTGGAATTCCAAGTGGAATCGTGCTTCTTTTGTGGAATCCAGTACTGAGTTCTATGGCTGGTCCTTGGAGTGGGCGACGTGTGCCCTCACACAGGGCGACCACCCAAAGGGGCGCAATTAGTGAGCGCCGAATACAAAGTTAGCACAGGCCACAGTTTTGTCTATGGCAGACTCAGAGTCTCGTTATTATTATTATTTTTTGTACCGATTGACAGTTCGATTTGAATAGTGCACGAAGAGAACGTTTACTTTCAAACAATTTGATATTCCCTACACAATGATCAAAAATGAGTACCTGTTCCTTTCAGGAGAATTTCTCCATTTTGTTTGGCTACTGTTATGATGTTTATGAAGAAAATAAAACCCTCTTGTTGTTACTTTCAGGCAAAACTGAAGATAAACTGAAGATAATATTCGAAATGTTTGACGATGACGGAAATGGCCTTATCGATAAGGGGGAACTGATGAAGATGTTGGGCTCCCTAGTGGACATAGCTAAAACTAAATCCTTAACAGAGGAGCAAGTAACGGACACAATCGCAGGAATGTTTGCAGTGGCTGGGTTGGAGGATAAAGAGAAACTCGACTTCAAAGACTTCAAGAGCATGATGAGTGAATACAGGGGAGATTTGATTTCCATTGGTTTAGATTTCAAAGGTGCTTACGTCACTGACAAGTCATTGTGTGTTATACTTATAGGTGTGGCGGAAAATACCGCCAGGGGGCACTACTAACAAATCAACCTAATCCTGTTTTAAGTTAAATTATACACTTTGAGACTTGGAACGTGTATAAAGAATCAATAAATACACAATAAACTAGTAAACTACACCTTTTTATATAATATTTCCAAAGCTTTGATGTTTTTTTGCAGTAGTCGTCGTCAGGCCAAACTGTAATTTTTTTACGCCATCTTCATTTACGTCTTTCGAATTAAAAATTAGAGACGTGTAAAAATACCATTTCAGATATCTTATCCTATTATAAGTCATTACCGAACAGCTCTTTCGTTTAATACCAAAACGCCCCCCAGTGGCACAGCGGTATGTCTGCGGACTTACAACGCTAGAATTCGGGTTTCGATACCCGTGGTGAGCAGAGCACAGATAGCTCTTGTGTAGCTTTGTGCATAATTAAAAACAAACAAACAATGATACCAAAACTTGTCCGTTTACAGATTTTAAGTCTATTAACTTGCAATCAAAATATTTGAAGTACTAATTCCCGCTTTGTCGCTAGAATACAAATAGTTAATCTATGTACATTTTTCCTATTAAACAAAAAGTACAGTTCTGAACTTTAGCGATGAACGAAAGGGGGCGTTTTTCTTAAATACGAGCATTCAGTGTTAACAATGCACAATAATGTATTGTACAAGTTAAAAGTAAAATTAAAAACTCTACATGTTTCGATGGAAAACGTTCCACCATCTTCATCTTTTTGTTTTTAAGCTAACAAACTGATCGGGCTCAATTTAAAAATAGAAAAACTTACTCCCAAGTTAAAAATTTATAAATTTCGAAACCCACTTTTTCCATTTACCGCAAAAATTAGTTTTAATATTTATAAAAGGGACCCATTTTCACATTGGACAGGTAAATAGCCTATTTTCATTTTGGTTGTTAGAAAGAACACTGTGAACCTCAGCAAGTACACAGACCAAGTACTGCTCTTTTAACTTTAAAATTGAACAAAAATAGTTTTATCCTTACTATTAATTATTTTATATCTCACTGATAAAACATTTCCAAATGAAAGTACTAATACGCTTGTGTCTGGAGCGTAGCAAGTTTATTTTTCCAAATGAAAGTTCTAATACGCTTGTGTCTGGAGTGTAACAAGTTTATTTTTCCAAATGAAAGTTCTAATACGCTTGTGTCTGGAGTGTAACAAGTTTATTTTTCCAAATGAAAGTTCTAATACGCTTGTGTCTGGAGTGTAACACGTTTATTTTTCCAAATGAAAGTTCTAATACGCTTGTGTCTGGAGTGTAACACGTTTATTTTTCCAAATGAAAGTTCTAATACGCTTGTGTCTGGAGTGTAACAAGTTTATTTTTCCAAATGAAAGTTCTAATACGCTTGTGTCTGGAGTGTAACAAGTTTATTTTTCCAAATGAAAGTTCTAATACGCTTGTGTCTGGAGTGTAACACGTTTATTTTTCCAAATGAAAGTTCTAATACGCTTGTGTCTGGAGTGTAACAAGTTTATTTTTCCAAATGAAAGTACTAATACGCTTGTGTCTGGAGTGTAACACGTTTATTTTTTTTAGGAGCGAAACAAAACTTTTGGGTTGATTCGAAGAATACTACAAGGTACGTTATTGATATAATAATTTATTCTGGTGTTTGTGTAGAAAAAAATAAATAAATTAGTAACATGGAGCCAGTTTTATTGTGAAAAACATAGTATTACAATCTGTTTACAAATAGAAGTATAGTTCCGAACAAGTTGGTATTGAAAAAGCTGTAAATGGCTTGTTCGTGCCCTTCTGTGTTGATAATAATAATAAATGTACTTTTTTAACATCGTTGTTGTTTGATAATGTTTTCTGCCGCGGCTTAGCGGCTAAAGAACGGTTTTAAGCTTGTTTTTCTAGTACAAACTTTTAGCTCGTATCTCCGTCATCTCTTGACCGATCTGAGATCTAATTACAGTTTTGGATTCGGGATCGATTTATTTTACCATGCCCAAGGTCTCGTAGATTAATTTACTCTAATCCTCCCTAAAAGAATTTCAATTTGAGGGTAGGCTGGTAGAGATCCTGATGAGTAATAAAAATCGAATCGGGTATACGCTCGCCCCACGCTTGGTATTGCAGGCGCACAAAAATATAGCTAATAAAAAGGGAAACAAAGGTCTCGTAAATAAATTTACTCTAATCCTGCCTAAAATACTTTTAAGTGCCGCGGCTATTGAGGATTCCCCCTTGTTTAACATAATTTTCGTACAGTGCGTGGGAAAATTTCTTTGGGATCTTTCGTAATATAACATTAGTATTATATTTCATGAAGATTTCAAAAGGTGATTGAAATTTAGTGTTCGCGGCGTAATTTGAAAATAGTTTTTGGTAAAGCTCGTGACAACTGAAGCCTAATCTTTTTCAGCATCTCTGCATAAAAACCTACGTGCGCTATTGAAGTTGTGCCAATCAGAATGTCATCTTGTTTTTATTATATTAGCCTTTCTAAAGTTAGTATAATCTGATTGACATTGTATTTGGAAATATTTTTAATACAACTTAAATTAATAAAATTTCTATATATTTACGTGGCAGTTAATCATGTTTACGTGATTTGAATGGCTTAGAATGATCAGCTTCCAAATCCCCCAAACCAACGAAAAACCGCCAATCTGGATCCATCAGAAATGGAACAACCTGGTAAACCCTCTAGAGGAAAATCGACAGCAAGTTTTTTATCTTTTCATATTTGGTGTCATCAACGTTGTCTTCTTCGTTGAACGCTTCTTGTGTAAGTTTTGTTTTACTGTCTGCAAAACCATCTAATAATAAGCTATAGAAATAGCAGGACTTGGTCGTAATTATGTTAGGCCTAGTTTAATATAATCAGTAGCTTGTTTCATTTAATGAAGTAACTAGATGCCAATATTTCATAATCGTGAAAAATATTACGTGGGTTTTGTTTTACACAATTAATTTTGAGTTTAGTTTTAAGGTATAAACTAAAGAAAAGGTTTTTACTTCATGATGAATTATAACATATTTTATTTTGTCATTTCTAAACACGTGCTTTTTCCAGATTATACGTATTATGCCGAACAGACGGACCTACGTCACATACTTGGACTAGGCATAAGCTTTACTCGTGCGTCAGCAGCTTCCTTATCCTTCTGTTATTCTTTGCTGCTGCTGACCATGTGTAGGAACTTGATCACCAAAATACGAGATCATTCCATCCACCAGTACATTCCTCTGGATTCACATGTTCAATTCCACAAAATTGTAGCCATGACAGCCTTGTTTTTCACGGGTAAGTTTCATTGTCGCAGATCGTGACTGCTTTGTTAATTACATGTTGAAGCATGAAATTTTAATTATCAATTTAAAAAAAAGCTCCAGAACCACAGCTGAAGATAAAAAAAAAAAAAAAAAAAAAAAAAAAAAGGAAAG